GAAGAGAACACTCCTCTGCAGACCAGTTCCCAAAGAGAGGGAGTGGTGTTAAGACCCCCCCCCCCTCCAAATCAGAAATAGAGAAATTGGTTTAAAGATGCAATTCAGACCAGGAGTGGAGAGTGGTATGTTCTTGGTTGTGTTGGAGCAACTGAGCCACCATGAAAGTGGGATGTAATGAGGAAGGTAGAGACAAGAGCAGATAAGAGATTGAAGGACATGTTCCAATGATTCCACACAGACTACTGAAGGGGATCTGCATGCACAACCATGTGGAATCAGGGCTCCTGAGGAAGGGAAGAGCCCCCAAATACAAGAGAGAAGTGTCTTGGTTACCAACATTTCCATTGGGTGAATATGCAGGGAAGAGGGTTGAACCGACTCCATGTGAGAGAGTTAAAGAAAACACCCATGTGGAAAGAAACAGAGTTGAATTCAAAATGTATTTTGATAGTTAGACCACCTAGATCTCCCAAAGAATAGTAGAAGTTGTAATTACCAATTCCCATCAAAACAAGGCCAGGAGAAGTCAAAAATGACATAACAATGGAAATGAAGGCCCAGAAGATGCATGCATTGAGTAAAGGAGTACATGACCCAGCTAAAAACATAAGAAGCCATATATAGCTAGGCTGAAAGGAGGGGCATGAAACTGACAGACATGACCACTGAGGACAAACTGGAAAAAGGACAAGATATAGGACAAATGGGAATGTGAAGCGAAGTAGGGTGGCCATGGTTCATACTGAATTGATAAGATCCATTTCAAGCACTTTATAAGCACTCTCAAAATGATTTTCAAGCACTTTTTGAAAGCTAAAATCTATATAAAAATCAATTGGATTCCACTGAAATTTTATAAAATTCCTATTTATTTGTTCCACATACGAATGTAGACTAAAAAGAAAAAAAAGACTTTATCTATTGTGCTCAACTCTGCAACATGCATGAGTTAAATATTTTGATAGATTTAGATATTATAATATTTTCAAGTACTTATGAAGTACTTTTGCAAAAAAAAAAGAGCCCCTTTTCAAGCTCTTTCAAGCCTTTGATATTCCATTCTCAATTTCAAGAACTTTCAAGGATGCATATGCACCCTGGGTGGGAACAGTTTCTATAGCTTCTGCCATCAACAGAGGACACCACTTCCTGAAGATGATGAAGATCCAGAGGATCTGTGGAAAAAGGATAAGAAAGAGGTGAAAAAAAAAAAGAAATAAAAGCCAGAAATGATGAGAAAGAAAGTGCAGAGCCTCAGGGCTACTGGAGAAGAAAAATACAAGCAGGTAAAGTGGGAGAAGCAGGAACCAAAGGAACCAGAGCTCAGGATTGATTCCAAGGAAGAGTTACCACTGAAAGCCACAACAGCTAGCTTTGTAGGAAGGGGGATAATGAGCAGAAGTGAGAGAAAAAACAACAGGAGATGAGTAGCCCAACATGATTCCTGAGGATAAGTGGCAGACAGAGGTACATGTGAACCAGTGAATCAGAAAATCAAGGAAAAAATATAAGTTTACAGGCTGTAAGCAAATTTGCAAGATGAAGTTACCAGATATAGGAAGAAGGGATGTAAACATCTGACTGAGGAGTTCCCAAAACAAAAACAGGACAAAACAGAGATAGTAGAGGAAGAAAAATGGAAATAAAGTGGGAAGTAAAGAATAATAGAGATTCTCACCAAAACTACTGGAGCTATATGAGCCTTGGTGAGGAGATTAAGGACAGAGTAAAGATAGACAAAAACAAGCATACAGCTGGAAAGAAGGAAAAAAAGGAGCACCTTAAACAGAGAGAAATGACACAAGAGATTGGGGTTCAATAAATATAAAAACATCATGACTTGATGCTATACCAAAAGAACCATAAAGACAAGAGGGACAAGAAATACGTGGTTAAATATGGTACACAGGTAAGAAATCATAGAATATCACATAACTGATTCATATGGTTATCAAACAGAAAAGGAAGAAGTACCTATTCCTCATCAGGGAATGAAGAACCAGAAAACAAAGGCTAGAAATAGAAGAGCTGGCTAAAATAACCAACTGGAGAGGCAAGCTCCACAGTAGGCAAAGAAAGAAATGACTAAGATCCGGAACTGAAGAAGAAATAGGCTGAAAGGAACCAACTAATGAGTGGGAACACCATCAGTTTACTTGTTGGTACATCATGGTTCATCACAGTTCAGTAAGGCTATGAAAGTTATATTACCTACAACTTTGAAAGTACATGGCCATGTAGTGAAATCTAAGACCTGTCACATGCAGGAGTGTACTCTATTAAGTAAACAAAAGGGAGAACAACTAACTGTCAGTCCATGAAAAGATAAAATTGTTTCCAATTGCTGTTGAGTCAGTAGGAGAAAATGCCTAAAATGGAATGTCTCAGTCCCAGGATTTTTTCTAGTATTTACTTGAAAGAACCCTAACATAGAAATGTGATGGTTAGAGAAAACAAAGTTGTAATCAGGTGGATGGAACAAAAACACAAGAAAAACAAAAGCAATGTGGCACTAAAGAAAGGCTGTCGATTAAGTCAACTAGAAGCAAAATAAAAACAAACAAGAAAAATCATGTTTGAACACAAGCAATGCCAAGAAAACAATCAGTGTATGATCATGTGCTAGTGCTCACAGGGATTACCATGCATACAAGTTGTGTCATGCTCTTATTGGTAGAGGGCTACAGCTTTATGATATTATGACAAAGAATGGTGCAATACACATAGACACATGTAAAGGTGGGAGTTCAAGGACTGGGACATGAACTGGTAATTCCTTGAAAGTTGTGTGTGAGGTAATAGCTCTTAATGGTGCAGAGAGGTAGGTTTCATTTCTGAAATGTCATTCATTTGTATCTAAAAATATCTCAATATGAATAATAATGATACAATACTTTGTACAAATAAAGACTACAAAAACTGCCCATATTGTATCTGATTTCAACACAGCTTTAATGCAGTACTAATAACTATTACTTTTGAAAAGTTTTTAGGAAGTCATTATATTGTACTAAATGTGGTTAGTTTGAAGTAAATGTTTATATTTTTTCACTTAGTAACATGAATATTTGAAAACATCGGATATTTTTACATTAAATAATTAAACACTATACAAAGAAAAATTATTTGAGAAATTAATATGAATCACAACTTCATTTTACTATTTTACTATTCTTAGAGTATTTAAATACAAGAACCTTAAAGTTTTATGAAACAAATGTATATTGGGATAAAATTCCATTAAGTGATGTCTGTTTTAGCAAAATGAGAAAAGAGAAAGAACTGAAGTAAACAGAATTTGTAATGTAATAACATCTTGATCATACATAATGGTATTAATTTCCAACTAAAACTTCATGAGCTATTTGCCATACCATATCTTTTGCATCCACATCTGCACCATGTTTCAGAAGTAATTCAACAATATCTAAATGACCCTCTTGAGCTGCAATGTGTAGTGGAGTTCTATCTACTTTAGTGCGTGCATCACGGCTAATCCCAGCTCGAAGAAGAAGTTCAGCTGTAGAAACATGCCCATTCTGAGCAGCTATGTGTAATGGGGATGTTCCAAGCTAGAAAGATAAAAATCACATTAACTCAGATATTTTTTTCTCCACATTCCTCATTATGTGCCCATTGTGGATTCAAAATCATACGCATGTCAATACACAATTTTAGATCTCCTGTCTCCCACAAGTCACTACCCAAAAGGCCTATCGTTTACCATAAATACTTACACATGGTGCACACTTTTTTCCAAATATTTTGGCTTAAATATGAAGAGTGCATTATGGGATAGTAGTATCAGAATGTTGCCTCAACATATCTTATATTTTTATGTGATTATTGTTTGTTGCTATTGGATCACCAGAAGTCAGTAACATAACCACAATGAAAAGGAATAAACAAAAGACTGAACTCTAGACATTTATATTTTATGCTTCAAGTCATACATGCAGAATGGGTGTATTTTGTCAACTATAACAACTGTATGGTTTATATGCTAGTATTTGCTAATAATGATCAGCCAAAATATGAGTGAGCAAACCTTTTTCAATTTTTTGGATCTTATTTTTTATGCTGTGTCGTAAGATGATTTTACTACCCTTTGCTACAATACATTCACAATAATATTCAATCATAGTCACTCTCCTATACTTTATGCCCAGGGCATTATCTAAAACACATATATATAAATTACAGATGATCATAATTTCGGCCTTTGTTTGTTCATTGTTTGGTATTCACTCATACACATACATACAGTTACTAATCAACACAACAATACACCACTCACTACACAAAGGCCAATCAGCTGTTACACTTGCTCTGTGCACTATACATGGGTATATTGATTTCTCCTAATATGCAAGGCCAAAAAATATACTACACACTAAATATGGAGTTGTACTATATGCAGGTATTTACGGTAATATAAAAATTCTTGAATTGGGCTAGATGATGAGAAACAAAAGATTTTATGAAAATGTTATTTATGTATGTAGTGCAGTACTTTAATAAAAGTTATTGTTTAAATGCCAAAAGCTGGAGAAGCATTTGAAATTAACAGGCCTAAAACTTTTCATAAAAACCATATCAACTGCAGATGTTTCTTTTTCTTTCCACATCCCTCTTATGTTTGTTCACTGTAAGTTTGAAATCATATGAGTGTAAAAAATAAGTTAACTTTGTACCCTATGAATTTTTCACTAACCTAAAGTTTTTTTTCTGCTAAAAATAAGTAACTCACAAAAATCTTGGCACAAAAGACAAATTGCCCAATATATTATATTACGTTTCTGAGACCTAAGCATTTGCCCAACATACTCATATTTTAAAGAACATGAAAAAGGATAACAGACACCACTTGATAAACCAATCCATTAATTCAACAAAAAATATAAGTACATTAAAATTTTTATGGTCAAAATACTTTCCTTTACACTGAAATTATAAAAATTAATCCTACATTCCTTAACCCTATTTCTAGAAAATACACTGTAGTACAAAACAGCAAAACGTTTGGAACAAAAAAATAAACACTATAACTTGTTAAAAAAATTGTAGAACTAAACCTTTAATTTTTACATATGAACATTGAAATTCAAAATCACAAATATTTAGTATATTTTATTTTTCATTTAGTTTAAAGCTGAAACATAACGTATATATACAAAAGGCCAGCAACATTTTCTTTACTGGTAGTTATTACACAAAAATACAGGATTGAATGATTTAGCTCAATGAGTTCACCCTTCTATAGATGGTTGAATATGTCATATTAAAATGAATCTTTATATGCAAATTAGCAAGCCACATGACAGATAAGACAATGTAAGGTTGCAATGGAATGGCATGTATCAAAATTATATTTTTTACATAGTTTCATGTTTTATAGGTAATATGATGCTATTGAAAATTTTTCGCTTTTGGGAACTGTACTTTATAGCCTTTTCTGACATATGATATTCATACACTTAGATTATCATTATAATGGCGTGTTCAGAGTAGGGAGAACTGGAAAAAGTTATCCTTGTACACTAGAGGTCTTATGGAAGGCTGCAGGGAGGAGGAGAGTGCTTTAGTTATGACAGAACCTTTTCCAATGGAAGCAAAGGATATGACTGGATGTGGTGGTAGGAACTATAACAACATGGTGATGCTAAAAAATAATTTTAATATAACTTACTTAACCACTATATGTGTACACACAATCACAAGCCAAAAATAGAAACAAACTAAAACTGCTCTTCACATTAATATATAACTACCTAATAAATGAAGTTAACAGCACACAATGAAGCACAATATCAGAAAAACCATTCCATAATTTTACTAGTAACAGAAGTTAACATTTTCTATGTGTGAAAATGTATTTTCGATAGATACCTCTTCATACAGAATAGCTTGATCCCTCTCATGCATGCTTATGAGACTTGCATCCCACTAGCCTTGAACTAACTCCAACCTAAAAATCATGTGTTTAATATAAATTGTGCTAGTGCATGCTGTTATCATCATACAACACTAGCTCTCCACCAATAAGAGGGTGACACAACCTTCTTACACAGTAAGTCCCCTTAAGCATTTGCACTCTAAATAACTTCATTCTTAGACGAGGCAAGAAGAAAATGCACCAAAAGTGGGGAAGATTGGTGGGAAAGTGAGTAGAAGAAAAAGTTAATTTCTGAGATGATACCTTACCTCTTCACACAGAATAACTCAAAACCCTAAATGATATGGTGGAGGGGCTGGTGCATACATTAAACCTATATCAACTCCCTTCAGAAAGCATTCAAAGGGAAATCCCATGGAGTATAACACTTGATGGCAGAGGATCCATAGGGGTACACCCGTGGAAGACTGCATTTCTTCTCAACAAGAGTATACTTTTTATCTGGAAAGGTAAAAATAGACCTAAGTGTTGCATGGATCGACAGAACTTTATTACAACCAACCAATCATTTGCAAAAAGTGTAGTGTGGTTAGGGTGTGATCAGACCATATGGAGAATGTCTCACCTTAACTCAATTCGACAGATTCTCAGTGCACGAGGAGGGTGCACTAGCCATTTGAAGGGTGACCTGCAAAAACACAGTGTCACCACCACCCTACTTCCCACTGGTGCTGTGTGCAATCAGTAAAGAACTTTCCAATGTCCATCACCCCAAAAGTTAGTAACTGGTAAGTCTCCTATTCTCCATTTGAAGAAGATGGAGAGAATATGCAGTGAGGAGACCTGCAGAAGTGCCTGGGTCCCCATCAGATGCCTGCCAGAAAAGTATTTTTCTAGAGACAGTGCAGTGGGTGATTGCAAAACCCTATTTTTAGAAATCATCAAATGCAAGTCAAAGTAGTGGGGAAACAGTTCCCTGATGCTGACTTTTTCCATGATAATCCATGGAATGGTATGGTCTGGATTGGGTAATTAAGTCACCTTGAGTGATCCCATAAAGGAGAAAAGAGTAATGAAAAAAGAAAACACACTTCTTACCCTGCATAGATTGAAGAATAGAGACCAGAGAGGGAGTTAAAATCATGCGTGAGAATAAAGCAGTCAGGTGACTAAAATAATGTGGAACGAATATGTAGGGAATCTTCCACATGCCAGCTTGAAGAATTTCATCTCAGTGTACACAAAAATGAGATACAAGAAAGTGAGACAGGTGATGAATTTGATGTGATGAAATGTGAAAAAGCCTGCAAGCATCAACACTGAGGGAAGAAAATACCAAGCAGAGGAGTTGGCAGACCCACCCAGTAAGGATAGTACACAAGAAGTCCCTGGATGAAGAGGGGTGAAAAGGTAGAAACAAACAATGGCAGGAACTCAAAAAGAAGATATATGTACCAAATAAAACCAAACAGCCCAAACTAGGCACAGAAGCTATTCCGGGTCCAAATGAGCACAAATGTGGAAAATAGAAGAGAAGGAGAAAAAGAATGACCAGACTACTCACCTTCCCAAGCAGCTGAAGTCATAGGAAGAAAAGCCTGGTCCAGGTAGAGAAGTAAGTAGAGTGAAAGAGACTGTGGGAAACATTTGTGGCATACATGTCAGAATAACGGCAAACTCAGTCAAAAAGGAGAAGAAAGTATGTCTTAAGAGAAAGATAGTACAAAGAAAAAAAGCCAACATCTTGAATGGGGCATGTGTTGTAGAACCACATTAAGTTCCCGAGTTCCAAATCAGGAATGGGAGTCAGTGAAGGAAGGAAGGATTGGAACGAAGTGGAGAGGACAGGGAAACAAACAATTGGTGGTAAAATATAGTGAACAAAGCTGCCTGATAACCAGCTATGGTGGAGACTGACAATCTATGGTTGAACAACCATGTGGAAGAGGCCAAAAGATGAGCTACAGTAGGACAGTCTAGAAGAACTACAGATTATATCAGCATATCGTAAACATTATATCAGTGTATATATACTCTCCCCTTCTTGTCAAAAGTC